TATTTTGATTGTGTGTTTGTTTGTGTGTTTGTTTGTTTGTCTTATTTTTTCAATGAATGAGTTACGTTGGCTTGTTGTCTGTGGTCATTTCTTATGGAGAATGCGACAACGAAAATGAGAAAATTTCTTTTAGACAAAAATTTGCCAAGATATTTTTCTTAAAAAGTTATTTTGTTGATTTTTTTGTATTATAAAAAAAAATGAATTATTTCTGAAGAATGATACTCTTACACTTGTATCAAAAACATTTTTCAGAATGAAATCCTACATGGCTTCTTTGAAATATTTTCCATGGAAATGAAGCAAATCTTTTGAACTTATTATGTGCCATTCATTTCTCATTTTCTTCTGAAAAGAAAATTTCTTCTTGCTTTCAAGTTATTTTTTCAAATTTTTTTCATTAGTAGCAACAGCAGTAGCAGTAGCAAACACAGCCTCGTGCAGCCATTGAAACAAATCGTTGAGTGTATTGCATATGTCGTTGTTTTTTTGGTATCTTGTTGTATATTTTTGTATACGTTTGTGTTTTTGTGTATTTTTTTTACAGAAAAAAAACTTCTTTCATGACCTTCGACCTCGGAGCACTTGCATTGAAGAGTTTATCTGTCGTGCAAACATCTGACAACATACCTGCCAGCCATGTGTTTGCTGCTACTTTGTGTGTATGTGTTTGTTTGTATAGGCGTGTGTGTGTACGTGCGTGTGTGTGTGTGCGTGTATGGATGATGGGTGTGTGTTTGTGTGTGTGTGTGTGTGTGTGTGTGTGTGTGTGTGTGTGTGTGTGTGTGTGTGTGTGTGTGTGTATGTGTGTGTGTGTGTGAATGATGACCTTAGTTTGCTGGTTTTTCTAAGACCATAAAGGGATTAACTGTATTGACGTGTGTTTATCTGGGAAACAAACGAACGAACGAACTAACAAATAAACAAACATAAACAAAACATAAACAAAAACATGACATAACACCAATGTATAAAAACAAAAAATTACCACAAAATGCTTTCCAATTCATTTTTTAGGCAGTTTATCAAAGTGTAATGGACGAAATTAAACACGTAAAGGGAACCGAGGTTTGGCTCAAAAATATTTTAAATTTTAAAACAAACAAACAGACAAACAAGCCAAAAACTTTAATGAAAATTTAATTTAAAAAAAATACCTGAAAAAGGTAGAAAAGAAAGAAGAAATTCGAACTCTGATATTCCAATCGAAATTGAAAAAATTTTTTTCCAGGTCTGTAGTTAATTTGTCAGGAAATAAAACAACAACAGCAACAACAACAATGACGTCATCATCAACAACAACAACCACAATGGTGTCATAATCATCAACAACATCAACAACAACAACAATGAATTCATCCTCAACAACAACAACAACAACAAACGCATTAATCACCTGAGATTCGTCTAATTATTTCTATTTAATTTTCCGATGAATATTTTTTTCGGTTTTGTTGTTTTGTGTTCGCTTGTTTTTTTTTTGTTAAAAAATAGAGAGAGATAGAGTGTGTGTGTGTGGTGTGTGTGTGTGGTGTGTGTGTGTTGCGCGTAAAGAATGCGTCGAACACACAATAAAGACATGGATGGATGGAAGAATAAATGAATAAATTAGAGAAGAAATTGCGAACTGGAGAACGTAAAAAGTAATGAGCCCGTTGAATGAATGGAAGGGCGTCACACGCACAGCCGGACAGCCATCTGTATCGATCCGGTTAAATTAAATATTGGCTCTTTGATTAAACTATAAAGAAGGAATCATTCATTTTACTGTTTCATTCCTTTATTTCATTTCTCCAATAATTTGTCCGTTCTTTTGTTCGTGTTTTTTCTTTCATTCAATCATTTTCTCACTCATTTTCTCACTCACTCACTCACTCACTCACTCACTCACTCACTCACTCACTCACTCACTCACTCACTCACTCACTCACTCACTCACTCACTCACTCACTCACTCACTCACTCACTCACTCACTCACTCACTCACTCACTCACTCACTCACTTACCCATTCATTCATTCAATCATTCACTTAATCACTCATTCAAACGCAACCTTCTCGTTCGTTCATTCATTCATTCATTCATTCATTCATTCATACATTCATTCATTCATTCATTCATTTTTCCATTACAGACCTATTTCTAATAGAACCATGTTAGCAGGCGATAAAGAAGAAATGCACTCGAAGACTGTGAGCAGAACCAGAGTTACCGCTTGAACATAAATTCATTTTTAAATAGAGGAGGGAGACGAAAGAGAGAAAGAGAAAAAAAGAGAGAGAAAAAGAGAGAGATAGGAGAAAAGTTAGGGAGAGAAAGACATCCAAACATATACATACATATTCAAATATCAAACTATGGCATATACAAACAAAAAGAATTGAATTGAATTGAAACATAAATACGAAGGTACAAACAAATACATTTCTATAAATACACATACATACATACAAATACATTCATACATACATATGCATACACATACATACATATAAATACATATACATACACATACATACATATAGATACATTCATACATACACTGCTGATGTATTTGACATCATGGAATGTTTTAATTATCATTGTCATATTTTCTTCATTGAATGTGTTTATAATGAGTTATGCGTCTGAATGATACTGGTCGAACAAACTTAAATACAAACAAACCAACAAACCAACATACATACAAACATACATACAAATAAACATACATACAAATAAACATACACACATACATACAAATAAACATACAAACATACTTACAAATAAACATACATACAAATAAACATACAAACAAACATACATACAAATAAACATACAAACATACATACAAACATACATACAAACATACATACAAATAAACATACAAACTTGCATACAAACATACACACACATGTGCGCTTCGCATACATTCAAGTACGAAAAAAAATCCTCCATGCAAAATTTATTGCAACACTAGAATATACAAGAAAATTCTTTGTTCATTGGATGAACGAAAGAATACAAGAATACAAAAAGAAAAAATTACACAAAAACAAATAAAAGAATGAAGATAGAAAGAACGGAGAGACTACGACAAAAATGAATAACAAGCGGTGATAACGGGGGAATGTGATGTGAATGATAATAATTGTCTTTGCATGAGGAACATGGAATAATTCAATGGAGGGAGGAATGGAATATTATCATCATCATCATCATCCTCATCATCATCATCCTCATCATCATCAGTCATCATCGTCATTATCGTTGTCATGATATACCGCAATTTAAAAAAAAGATAACTAACCCTAACTTTTACTTGTGTATGTATGTATGTATGTATGTATGTATGTATGTATGTATGTATGTATGTATGCATGTATGTATGTATGTGTGTGTGTATGTGTGTGTGTATGTATGTATGTATGTATGTATGTATGTATGTATGTATGTATGTATGTATGTATGTATGTATGTATGTATGTATGTATGTCATAAAATACAAAGAAATACCAGATTTATAAACGATACAAAATGCCAAAACTAATAACAATTCTATACAGCGGACGTCAAACGAAGCAGAAAATGAATAAAAATACAATTTAATACACCGTCACACGAAACTGATTTGCGACCGACACGCACGCACACACGCACACACGCACACACGCACACACACATACACAAACATACACACACAATGCTTTGGAAAGTAAGGTAAGCTTATTTATTAAGGATTTTTCTACCATGATATTCAGCAACGGGGTTAAAGGTTAAGTACATGCAAACCTACAGTTGTGTGTTTTAGCGAAGTACAAATTTGTACGTTGGCATATGTACATACACACATACATACATACATACATAACATACATACATACATTCATAATAATACACACATACATACATTCATACATGTGTACATTCGTTGATAAGAAATGTAATTAAAACATGAGTGTTAATGAAATTTAATCGAGCCAGACTGATAGGTTGATTGATGGGTAGATGGGTGGGCAGATTGATTGAGTGAATGATTGAATGATTGAATGATTGATTGATTTGATTGATTGATTGATTGATTGATTGATTGATTGATTGATTGATTGATTGATTGATTGATTGATTGATTGATTGATTGATTGATTGATTGATTGATTGATTGATTGATTGATTGATTGATTGATTGATTGATTGATTGATTGATTGATTGATTGATTGATTGATTGATTGAGCCAATGGTTGATCGACTCAAACCACAAATGATTGATTGACATGAACTTCTAGCGAAAGAATAGTAAATTATTTCAATATTAATTGACACACACACAAACACACGCGCACACACACGCAAACACATACACGCACACATACACGCACACGCGCACACATTAATGTTTTAAACAAAAGAAATCAAATTAAATTACCTAAAATAAAATAAGATGACAAAAATAATAGAAATAAAAACAAACATAGATTAAAGAACTCGAGCTAATTACTGACAAACTTGAGAAATGGTTTTCCATTTTTTTTATCTATGTTGTAGAAGCAACGCACTCCTGGCCTATATGTCATTGCAAATTTGAAAAAGTAAAATGGTATTATGTATGGGATGAATAGATATTCATCTTGATACTAGCTATTTAAACTTAGAATTTTTCGCAACAATTTAGCATATATGCAACTAATCCTTCTTCTCTTCCTACAATCCCTGCTTCTATAACGTAATTGCTGATGACGTCAATCAAAATAGGGTTGGGCGTATAAATTTTCGGAAGATGTGTGTAGAATTTTTGTTCTTTTTCAGGTTTTTTGTTAAATTTCTATTTTTTGTTTGTTCATTCGTTCAATCATTCATTTGTTCGTTCGTTCATTCAATCACTCGTTCATTTGTTCGTTCGCTCATTCATTCGTTCATTCGTTTAATTATTCATTGAATTTTTAATTTATTTGCACATTGTTTAATAAATTAACCTGATAATTGTTCTTTCAAATGTTTCCATTATTTCAACTTTACTAATTAATTGGTCGGCTTGCAACACAACTCATTAGTCAGGACTACAATCAGTTCGTTCGTTCATTCATTCATTTTTTACAAAATCTTTTAAATAATTATATTATTCCCTTAAAAATACAAATTAACTCGAGCCATTGTCAACTTGACGATCGGCACAATTTCATCATTATTTAGAGGTTGTCATCCTTTTATTCATTCGTTTTCGTTTTTTCTTTCAATCCATCTTTTTTGTTATTTTTATTATTATCGTTATTATAATTATTATTGTTGTTGTTGTTATAGTAGTAATAGTAATAGTACGAGCCGCCTTAGAAGAAGTAGTTGTTTTTTGTTGTAAACATTTTTAAAAAAATTTGTATCATGCAGTTGTTTCGGTTTTCATCATCATCATCATCCCTTTCAAAATGATGATGATGACCTCCATCATCATCATTTTCATTCTCAAAATGACCATCATCATCATCATCGTCGTCATCATCATCATCGTCATCATCCTTTTTAAAATGACCATCATCATCATCATTCTCAAAATGACCATCATCATCATCATCATCCTCATTCTTTTTAAACTCACCATCATCATCATTCTCAAAATCACCACCACCACCACCATCATCATCATCATCATCGTCTTTAGAACTTTTTTCCCGTGCTTTTTCAATTTTCCAGCAAAAAAAATTGCGCAGAGAGGAAGTGAGAAATAGATTCATTCGAGCGTTCGCCAATGGCTCTATCGTTTAAACATATCACTTAATTATTTCTCGTCATCGTCATCTTCACCATCATCATCATCATTATTGACATTATTAATATCTTTATCATTATCATCATTACCCACCAACACCATCATCATCGTCATCATCATCATCAGCAGCTGTTTTTCCAAAACCTCATCAAAATGG